TTGCGTGGAACAGTATTCGCCCACGCAAACGGGTACCAGGCTGATGTTGCTTCCGCTTGCAAAACCAAAAACCACACAAAAGGTTATGACAGCTGCAGCATTGCCATTTGCTGGCAGCCATATGGCCAAGATGGCGATAACACAAAGCAGGTTTGTGGCGATCATGGTGTTCATCCGGCCGAATTTGTCGGCGATAAGTCCAGGCAACCACCTGCCTGGAACGGAACCGGCATTGAGAAACACAATCATAAGAAATGACAGCCTCTTGCCGATTCCGTTGGCAAGAGAATACGATGCAACATATTCCAGTCCAATGAAGAATCCCCACTCGATGAAAAAGACTCCTATGGTCATCAAGAACACATTGTGTTGCAATAAGATGTGAAAGTCTGGCAGGATACTTCTGTTCAATGGCAGAGTATCGCGGAAAGATTTCCGCGGGCGTACAAGTAGGCAGCCAACCATCAAAAGAACAAGAGTTATCAGCCCCATCGAACGAGTTGTCCACGCAAACCCGATCTTCTCGCTCAAGCTGTCGAACATGAGGGGGAACATGACGCCTCCAACACTGCCCCCAGCCATGGCCAGACCAGTTGCTGCACCGCGCTTGACTTGAAAGTACTGCCCCACCGTCGCAACAGGCACGACAAATATGATGGATGTCGCCGAACCCGCAACAAGACCAATCACAACCAGGAAATGCCAGTACTCCTTACAGAAACCAATGGAGCCAAAGACTGTCATGTACAGCACAATGCTTGCAGCCATGAGCCATGTTGGCCCGTGAACATCGAAAACAGGGCCAATCTGTATGCCACAGAAGAAGACCATGAAATTGAAGAGGCCGAATATCCAGGCAAGCTTTCCTTCATCGACGTCATGAAGTTGGTGGGTGGAAAACCAAGATTGGTAGATGCCAATGCTGTTCATGAGGCCTAGGCCGCCCATGATGGCACAGAAACTTCCAAAAACAACCAAATATGCAGCCGTGCCGCCTTCCGGATAGACCTCCTCTAGGGAGTCATCAGTAAGCTCGGGGTCTGAGGTGAGAGCTTCTGACCTGGTTTGATTCTGTGCTTGAGTGCCTTTAGACTTGACACCCTTTGGGGAATGGCGGGACTGTTTTCTCATCAGTCGATGAGGTATGTGTTATGCAGGATTAGGTGAGACTAACCTTCATCTTTTCGTTTTGCAGTAACCGTGTAATTGAATGGATGGGCATGACACAAATGCCGTTAATAAGCAAAACAAAGACCAAAGCTCGAGGTTTGTGGGCTTTTAATATTATTGCTTGAGATAAATGCGCAGAACTTGAGGTCGATAGAGAGAATAGAGACCTAGCTGCGAGAGATCCGGACAGTTTATTTGACATATCCATCACTCTTTCAATTAAATGGGCGAATCAGCTTCCTTTCATACAGACTTTCGGCCACTGGAGAGTTCGCCGAATTGGTTTGGCCGACGACCAATTTTCGCCGGAGCAGCGCCTGCTTTTTTCTTCCCCTCATTTCGCCGAACTTGACTTCATTCGGGCAAATTCCAGCAATGCCACCAAGACTGCTTCATAATCTGCATTCGCCGAAATCGCCAAAATCAAAGCAGTTTGTTTTCTACACATTAGCAGCATCGCCGTGCTTCATTTGACCGACCAATGGCCCCAACGCCGACAAAAACGACCCCAGTCGCCGAAACGACACGACCTTACCGGTCGCAAAAGCGGCATCGGCCATGCGACCGTTGCCGAGAGATGAAGCTGAAATGCCAGACAGAGGGCGAGCCACCGTGTCGGCGCTGTCGACAGAGTGATGCCGAATGCACGTACATTGGAAGACCGCATAAGCGATCACTGGCTCAGAGGCAGAGCGCAAGACAGAACTCATCGCCAAGACAACTGAGTCGCGCTTCTTCCTCTGTACGAGATGTGACCGATGCGGTGGACGACCCGCCGAGTGCTGCAGTTGCAGTCGGTGAGGCTGCTGCTCCTGCTCGAAACCAGTCTTTCATCGCGTTCAGTCAGACTGCCAATGTTTCCCCTTCAACTGGTGGACAGCCCGACCGGCCTACGACTCAGATCTCTCAGACTCTCGATAATATGGACGGCCACAGCGCAATGCTCCTCGGGAGCTCTTCAGGGTCAGATCCCTGGCTGCTTCGTCACTTTCGATTCGATGAACTGGGCTTGCGGAGCTTCCACAAGTTGCATGTCCGAAATGCTGGTGGCGTGCCGACGGCGGACAAGATTCCGGTACATTTTCTGCTCAGTTCAGATGCTGTATACCAAAGCTCAATAGCCGAATCAAAGGCCATTGAGTTGCGGAGGCGACTGGACTGTTTGGTGCCGCAGTCCACAGGGGCTCGGCTTGTTCGTCTGTGAGTTTGATACATCATATCCTTAATTCCGGTCCATCATTAACCCCGTTTCTGCTCGTCAAGATTTCACAGGTATGTCTTCGAGATGCTTCCCATAGTTTCTCGGACGGCAATGGGTTTGACATCACAGGATGCCCTCCCTCAACCAGGCATCCTAACAGAAACACCGACGCATCTTTTGGCCGCTTTGTATGGTTCGGCTATCCCGTTCGCCCTTCAAGACGATCATCTGGTAGCTCTTTTGACTTGTGACCACATCAACCTGGACAAAGTCTGGGAGATATGTTATGCAAGCATGCAAGAGGAGATTTACAAGCCCCATCTGCATGTTCTTCAAGCTGCAATCTTGTATCTTCACAGAAACCATGAGAGCCCGCGGCAGTCTGCTTTTACGGATACGTCGTCTATATGGCCGTTCATGGGAACAGTCGTGGGACTGTCACATAATCTAGGCCTACATTTGGAGTGTCGTATGATGGGTCTTCCTGCTCAGGAGAAGCGACTTCGGCGAAGGTTATGGTGGGCAGTCTTCATACAAGACAAGTTCCTCTCTCTTCATACAGGAAGGCCTCCTTACATTCGGAACGATGAATGGGATGTCGGCGAGCTTGACAACTTCGACTTTTTACCATGGAACGAGACGGATGCTTCGAAGGCGTCTCCATTTCGGGACCTGGCCAGACTATCACTGATCGCAGAGACACTTCAGGCGGACTTGTAGTAGGTTCATAACCCTTCATCTGAAGAATGTTGAATAGATACTGATCATGGAGTTAGTTCCTTGAAGTCATGCCAGAAGCTGGCTGAGAACCTACCTGATTCTATCCAAGCTGCGCGACCTATCTTTGATGCCTTGCATCAGTGGCGGGCGTCCATCCCGATACCAGAGTCATTTCACGAGTCAAGGGTCTTGATCAATGAGAACCAAAATTCATACCCGGCTTGCATATCTCTCTCATACCTTTCGCTGGTCGCGTATACATGGCGAGCCCTACTTCGGCCGACAGTTCGATCAGCCCCCCCCCCTCAGATCATAGATGTTGACGCTGAGCCGCAGACGTTCCCAGATACAGGGTTCCTCTTTGAGGACCTTAGCTGGAATTTCTCTGATTTTCCGGAGCTGGAGCTGCAGCTTGAGGACGGGGCTCCGGACTCGAGTGCAACAATCAAGGAGCTATATCAAGCGGCACAGACTTGGGCAGAAACACTAGTCAAGTTTGCAGTCTGTCTGACTTCAAGCGATTTCAGCCAATTTTGGTACTCATGTGAGTTCTAACGATATAACTCAAGAAGTCCTTGTTCCAAATTGACATCTAGCATAGGGTCCAAATTCAGTTTAGTAGTGGCCTCCAATTTCCTCATGTTGTTACTCGTCCAGGCCCCCAGTGCTGAAAGTGGCGTGCGAGCCAGAGAATTATTTGAGAGATGGCGCCAAGTTATCAAAGATCATGCCAAGATGTCTCCATTGTTTCTCCTGACTGCAACAGAGCTGGGCCAGGTCTATGAAGCAGGAATTGCTGAAACGTTTTGTCTACCTTCTCACGTTCAGGGCATTTTGTAAAGTAATGATAAGACTGGCGCCGTAAAGGAGTGAGAATAGGTAATAATTAACAAGATTGCCTCAGACGATCATGAACTGTGAACTTGAGGTGGGCATTCGGGCCGGGGAGGTGGTGCTTGCTACAATAATTCGGCGAAACTATGCCTTCGGCGATGTCTTTTGGCCGACACGACTCATGCCTTGTGTGTGAGCCTGCTACTTAAACAGGCTCCCGGACTACGCATGATCCCTCGAAGTAAAAGTTCCTTGATACCAAGAGCTGAAGACCTCGATTGCCGCTTGAAATGGGTCAGTTTATCGATATGAACGAAGACACCTTTGGACGACACGATACTGGAACACCTTGCCCGCCATATCGCCCGAGGATTCAGGAGTACGATGGTACCCAGCCCAGCCCTCCTTCGTATCGACAAGCCAACTCATCATTCGATGAAGATATCGCCCACGGTTCAAACGAAGAGGGGAAGGAGACACCACAATCACAGGGGCAGTGGCTACGGTGGATCAAGCGCGTTGCGGACACATTCAAACCCGCGCCTGCACCAGTAGGGTAAGTCTTTGTCTAGATTGCTCGAAACAAATTTCTCAAGCACACATATTTCGTGGCGTGTACTGAGAGTGGAGGCATAATAGGCACGTCAATCAAAAGGTCGTTATCTTCTGGCCGACCACAGCCACCTTTACCGTTGTAGAGTCTGTGTCACCTGTGCAAGCAGACAGCAAGAGTGAGCAGTCCAGTTCTTCGAAATATACTCAAATGTCCCGGTCTAATGCTTGAATGCTTGGCAGATCCCGATATGTGCTTTGGATCATGTTGCCGCGCGTAGTGCAGGTTGTGTTTCGAACGAAAGGTTCCAAAAGGCCGATACGATGTATGTACTAAGAACGGGGCAAGTTTGACGAAGAACCTACGACGTAAATATTGCCAATGATTGGGATAGAGAATGATCTGCTGAAATTGTATTGGTGTTTCGTGCGCCAGATGTTTTGATTATTTCTCATTATCTCGAAGTAACAACAGAATAGTTGATCGCCATGGCAGAGCCTGTAGTGTACGGTACATTTCTGCTCATTGAAGCCGATAGTATTTCGTGGTGCTCTGCATCTTGCCCGTCCCGATGTCGTCGTTCGTGCTCAATTTGAGGGACAGCTCCTCCGTTTGGTCTCTTTTGTTGTTCCGATAGTTTGTCAAGATGACGCCCGGGGCGAAAAAGACATGTCCCGGTCCAGCAACTCTCTTTCCTTCAAGGTATATCTCCCAGCCGAAGTGCGCCGTTTGAGTCTTGCCCACCGGCGGATTATCAGCATCTGACCCCATCGGCTTCGCGTTAGTTGACTGTACTTTTTCATCACGAGGGGAGTATCAAAATAAGCAGGATGCAATACCCCAGATAACTTCCAGCTCAAACGCCTTCGCCCCGTCGCTTTTGGTGGCAACGAAGTGAGCGTGAACCTCGACGATGCCCGACTGGTTGTGCTTGTCGAAGGCACTGGCGTCGACGCTCTTATTGATGCCTTTGGCGACCTCGGCACTACCGACGCCAAGTCCACCGGGGAAACTGAGCCGGCTGACAGCGGTGGTGATTTGGGATTGTAGCTCACGGGCTGCTTGAGCCTGGCTTTCGAACTGTTGCGGGGACATATCGAGCTCAGTGGAAACACCGAAAGGCTTTGAGAACCTAAATAGCGGAGAGCTAGTTGTCACCAACAGCACTTCGTAGAGATCAATGGCTTTGGAAGTATGTTTCACCTCTTTCATTAAAAGACTCATCAAGGAGAGTCCAGCGAGGTGACGTTGAGGAGGTGTGGCTGGCTGACCTCCTCACTACTTGAGACATGAAGCTGCATCTTAGTGGACGCCTTGATTGAGCAGACGGATAGAGCGGGATGGATCAATCAGTAGCCGTCTTCATTTGACTTTGTTTACGAGCGAGACCATAGATCTCTAAGTCATCACTGCTCGGATTGTTTCTCCTTTTCTTTTCATTTTCAGGTTTTACTTGGCCGGGAGACAGGCTTATGCGATTAACCATGGAAGCCAATTGTCTAATTGGAGTGCATCTCGGTATTTGCAGCGGTAATCTTGCCAGATGATATACTAACCCATGAGTGGGGTTGTAGAACAAAACGCGGTATGACCGTGAATGTATCGTTCGGGGTCAACCATCATCATCAGCATTTGGACCAAGTTCGTAAACCTATCTGGCCAGGATGACAAACACCAATATCCAGCGTAACATAACATATCAAATCACCCATTCACTTAACCAGCATCTACAACGTTCCAAAGATCACAATTACCCCAGCTTTATCGTCCGTCAAACCCCGGCAATCTTCTCCCCCTCAAGCTCCGCAGTAGTAGCTCGGCAGGCCCCACCCAGCCGGCGCGAACACCACCGCAAAAGCAAGGTCACTGATAATCGGATATGCCACGCAAATTGCAACGTTGCTATCACCTACACAGAAAAATACAACTGCAAGGCACACTACTTCTCAATGATACGATACCGTTGCCGTTCCTGAGGGGTAAACTAAGCACCCGGGCGGGCTCGCTGATCCGCGGCTGTCACCTTCTCCAATCGCACAGCTCCTCATTTCGGCTCCCCTCATTCGGGCTGTTTACCCCGCGCGCCGGGAACCCATCGTGTGATGTCAGTTGGTGATCGAGATTTGATAAAGTCGTGCTTATATAGCATAGCTAGCTGTAGATAATCTCTGAAAGGTGTGGTCACTGAGACATTGCCATTGGCGAATTGCATCCATTCTTCGCGGCGATGCGGTTCACGACAGCTCTTGCTTCGGCGCTGACGCTCGGCCTCCGCGCCGCAGCGGACGCGCTCCCCGGCCTCCCGACCGTGCCGTACACCACCACTGGCGGCACCCTGCCCTCAAGCTTCTTCACGAAAATCATTGTGCACGAGCAGTTTGCGAATTCAGTCGACGACAAAGGCGAGACGCTCATCCCGCCCACGCTCCGCTCCTTTGCCGAAACATTCTCCGAAGACCTCGCCTCCGTCTTGAATCTCTCCATCCCCGTCACGACCGGGACCGCCGCAGAGCAAGGCTCCATCTTCCTCACCCTCGACGAAGACGCGTCCAAGTTCAAGGATGCGGCGGGCAGAGAGACATCGGAGGGCTACGCGCTGAATGTGACCATAGACGGCGTGCGCATCGCCGGCGCGAGCCCGCTCGGGGCGTGGTGGGGCACGCGGTCGGTGCTGCAGCAGATGGTCCTCGGGGACGGGGCGGTGGAGTTGGGGTACGGGGTTGATAGCCCCGGATGGGGGACGCGCGGGATGATGGTAAGTTTTGCGGTCTTTTCCGGTGTTTATGTCTTCCGATGAGTTTTCTTAAGATGGGGATAAGCTGTGGGTGTCGAAATCATCTTCTGTCTACCTCAATCATATGCCCTTTACTAATCTTGTAATCCCTGTTGTCTCTGTCGTCTCTTCTATTTTTCCCATGATTCCCATTGTGCTCCTCTATGCTCACCTTCTTCAACATCTCGACTATTCTCATCATGGCTTCTATCCTCTTCATCTTCTCTGTCATCAAGACAACAAATCCATAACAGAATGCTAACACCACCCTAGCTCGACATCGCCCGCCACTACTACCCCCCCGCCTTCCTAATCGAAATGTGCGCCTACATGTCCTTCTTCAAACAAAACACCTTCCAGCTCCACCTCTCGGACAACCTCTACAACAACGTGGCCATCTACTCCCGCGAGCGCCAGCTCTCCCTCTACGCCGCCTTCCGCCTGCTCTCCGACGACCCGGCCCTCGCGGGGCTCAACAAGCGCGCCAACGAGTCCTACACGCGCGCCGTCTTCGACGACGTCCAGATACAATGTGCCGCAAGGGGCGTCACGATTCTGCCCGAGATCGAGGCCCCAGGGCACGCGCTGGTGATCTCGCAGTGGAGGGAGAGTCTGGGGCTGAGCAGCGATTTGAGCCTGTTGAATGTGTCGAACCCCGAGACGATTCCGGTTATGCAGGATATTTGGGGGGTGTTTTTGCCATGGTTTCACACGAAGACGGTGAGTATCGGGGCGGATGAGTACGTTGACCCGACTTTGAGCGAGGAGTAAGTCACCCCGGGAACCTTTCTGCTGAGCGTGTTACTGATGGGGGCAGGGCGCTGGTTGGCGAGTACACCCGCTTCGTGGACTCGATGAACGACTACATCACAACCACATCCGGCAAAAAGGTGCGCATCTGGGGCACATTCTCCCCTGCCTCGGGCGGCGACGTGAACAAGTCCGTCTCGATCCAGCACTGGGCCAACTTCGAAGCCAACCCGCTCTGGGATTTTGTGAACAACGGCTACGCGGTGCTCAACTCGGGCGACTACATCTACACCGTCGGCAAGTGGTCCGAGTGGTACGGCCACGAGCTGAGCCTGGACTTCATCTTCCACGGGTCGCCCGACGGGAGCGCGTTCGCGCCGAACGTGTTCGACCGGGACAACGCGACGAACAACGCGGCGCGGGACAGCGCGGCGCTGCTGGGGCATGTGGCGCCGCAGTGGAACGACTTTGGACCGAACGCGACGACGGTGACGGAGGCGTATTACCAGTGGAGGGACGGGCTGCCGGCGCTGGCGGATAAGCAGTGGGGAGGGGAGGTGGCGGAGGATGCGTATGGGGGGTTGTTTGCGAAGTTGCAGCCCGCTGCGCCGGGGCAGAATCTCGATCGTAGGATTCCGAGTGTGGGAGAGACGATTGTGGAATATGACTTCACTCAGAGCAACGGCAGCACGGTAAAGGATCTATCGGGCAACGGGTACCATGCGGAATCTTCGTGCGAGCTGGGTGAGGAGGGCGCCGTGTTGACGCCGTCGTGCAGCATCACGACTCCGCTCACGCAAAAGGGACGGAATTACACGCTCTCGTTCTCGATCAAGCCCACCAGCGCGGCCAAGGGCGCCATCTTCAGCGGTGGGGACAGCGGGCTGTGGTTCGGCAACGGGACGGTGGATGCGGTCATGTTGTTCTCGGGGGAGAGCACGTATGCGCTGAACTACACGTTCCCCGTGGGGGAGTGGACGGAGGCAAAGCTCGTTGGGCAGGGGAGGCAGACATTTTTGGACGTTGGAGGGGATAGGATGGAGTTCTTGACGATCATGGGATGGAACGGGGCGCGGTTTGTGTGGCAGCCGGTTGCGGTGGAAGCTCCCCTGGCGACGGTTGGAGGGGGCGGGTTCGAGGGCGTCATTGGGGGGATGAAGCTTGTTGACGGTGCGTAGGATAGATGGGATTCAGACAAGCAGCTGGTTGCACACATCCAGTTGTGTTATCCGTAATAATACTGGATGCCTCGGCATGTTGCGGCATTCAATTTCGATGAGGCTCATCAGGGCTTGCTCTGCACAAGTGCTTGAGAACAGAAATTCGCTGTCATGCAGATGGGCGGTGTCTGAGTCGTAATTACGTCGTGACGTGAGATTTCCGAAGCCTGATTTCCGAACCTGATTTCCAGACGCATTAGCCTGATCTTGAAACCTGGGTCCTCATTCTTCGCGCATGTGAGAGCGATCACGCAGCAACAATGCCAAGCATCGTGGTTACCGTCTGCTAGAAGGTTCTAGCGATAAAGAAGCGGCTTCGGATTTACTATGCGCAGTGTGGTCGTGATCAGCGGTCGTAGGTTGAACCCCGGGCGAGCCGTCGAGTCGATGTCGCATTCAAGGCTCGATGCGGGTGGCATGGCCGCCCCGGGGGGGCGATCGGGGTCTTCGGGGTCTTACGTAGTGAGGAGGCCGGGGGTGGTCGTCCAGAGCGAGGTACGGTGGCATTCGACGGGATGCTCGCCGCAGGGATGAGGGACGGGCAAGGGGCTGAATCAGGGTCCAGGAAGGGTTCTCAGGCGATGCTCATTGCTCCGAGTTGGGCCCCCAAACAGGCTGCAACGGTCTGCTGGTCTGCTGACGGTGACGATGTGAAGCACAGCAACAAAGGCGTTGGCAAGAGAACAAGTGAACATCCAGGGAGCGGGTTGGCGAGGGAAAAGATGAGATGAGATGACGATGGTTTGGGCTGAAGGCGGGCGGGACGTATTTTCGTCTCATTTTTTGGGTGTTGCATGAATGTGGCACCGAAAAGAATGGGTGAAAGTGACTCGACTGATGATGAATTGCTGCTATTCATAAACTCTTTGTTGTGAAGAGATGAAAGTGTTACCATCCACGGAGAAATGGACCAGAAACGAATGCGCGCTTTGGACCCCTAGGACCCCTCTTATCCAGGTCTCGCATTGAGTGGGTGGATGGATGAATAGAGACTGGACGACAACCCAACGGCGACGGCGACGGGACGGGAGGAGGCCGCTGAAGAAAAGGGGTCCAAGATGTCGAGCTGCGTGTTGGCGATGAGGGAGACGAACGGACGCGTGGCTCATGCAATGGCAGTGGACATAATGCCGCCGTCAGGAGTTGGTCGGTGGTAAGAAGTGGTGATGGAGGATCATGAGGTTGCGGTCGAAATGAAGTGCGTGTCAGAGCTGCAATCGGAACTTGGAAGGCGCATGGGGTACGTACCGGGAATAATGGGGACATTGGACCTGCAGCAGGAAGCAACCTGTCCCGAAACGGGTACGTACCTGGCGGTCCTTCCCTTCAGTGGTCTTTGCCGGATCTCTATT